TTTTTCAGTTTACATAGTCTTTAGCACGATCTTTCTAACACTGAAAGAATCAGGTCTTTACATATAAATACAGCTGAGTTATAACAAAAACAAAGGTATCTTAAAATCATGACCCCACTTTATTCTAGATAATATACGTGATGTGCAAAAGTGGAATTTTTGTCTCGTTATATGCCTATGCGAAGGGATGCATAATACGAAAATTGCGTCTGATTTTTTAGCAATGATACTCTACGAAGTTGATGATCATGACAAAGCAACCTCTGCTGCTGTACACTATGCCGCATTACTCTATCCTACGATATTACTTCAGGAAAAGTGTGATCCACTGTATGATTTAAAAAAAACTTTTAGCCCAATCTCCGCGAGATTAAAATATGAAATACGATAAAGTCGCTTCAATCGTAGACAGGAAAATCATGTAATTACATAACTCGCAGTACTCGACAACTCTTTTTAAACAAATTGTGATTGGTAAAAATATCGGTTGTGAACTCAAGTCGCTTCGACAAGTCAAGAGAAGTAAACCTCAAATCGGTTATTTTGCAGTCCACGCTGATCATATGCTATTGATGGAGCAGCAGTGTAGTCACTCTTAACTGTTTGGCCCGGTAGTGACTGATAATTGGTATTCGCTACTACTTCAACATGTCTGTCACGGTCTGTGAGTGGTAGAGGATAGGAAAAATTTTTCGGTATGTACTCAGTACTCCTATATAGTCATGTTTCACAAAACTACAAGTTAAATAAAATAATAGTCCGAAGATTGTGTCATTCCGCGCCTCGAATTCATCGAAATTTTGATAAAAACTTGGGAAAATGCTATACAAATCATTCAAATAAAAGTACTTTCTGCACAGCGATTGTCTGTGTTCTTTTTTTTTTTTATTGAAAAAACATTCACTTTTTTATTCTGGTCAGCTAGGATTGTTGTGGTCAGAATACGACAAAACTTTAGCGTAGAGTTTGAAAGTTACACCGTTGTAGTATCTGTGACAGAGGAAGAGCTGAGTAACGTTGAGCACGACTAAGTGACGGATTACAGATCGCTTAATAAAGTCTAATTGGAGACAAGCTGGATAATTCTCTGCAAACAACCGACAAACTCATGTAGCAATATACCCCCACTTTACTGAGATAATGAGATTATTTGTTCCATTTTTGAATCATTTCTGAGAGAAGATAAATGCAGTAGTTGTTATCTTGTACTATATTACTAGATACGTATACTTCTCATTTTTTAAGACGAGTACGGTGTACGATGAATATTTTAATTATCATCATATCTACCCTTCTGACATAAATATTTTGTTGACAGTGTTATATGGAATGCTATGATAAAATGGAAATAACGTTTCTATTCCACGTCTTCATTTGTTCTATCTCTGATAAATAGCTATTTTTTCTATTTTTCTCTTAAAACTTGGGTGTGAGAGTGTAGGTTGAGACGACTACAATCTGGATGTAATTATTTTCTACTTGACAATTGCATCTTTCTCAATAGTACTTAGTGGTTTTAGACTAGAAGAAATAGAATCGTACGCCTGTCAACGACGCGAAAAATCTATTACGAACAAAGTTGATAAAAACCATAATAGGACTTGAGCAAGATCTTGTCTCATATTTATGTTTTTCAAGTAATAATAATTTGTTCTTTTGAAACATTGTGTCTGATTAAAAGAAAGGCATGCGCTTCTATGGTGATTTTATTATTGCCAATACCGTTAAAAAGCTCTTCATTTCCATAAGTTAGATTTGAAAGAAAAATTGAGAAAAGTAACACATGTACTTGCATGATCAAAAATGAGCATACGTGAATTAGTGTCAAATGGTCAATTGAAAGAAAAGATACCGATAATAATGCCTAATACCGACCAGTCTTGCCCTTTAAAAATATTGATGGATACATTTTCTACGTACTATGTAACGGAAAGACTGATATTGTTGTAGTTAACTCCTTCGTTAGTGTTTATTCCCTCGACTGTAGGGAGGGTCATATGAAAAAAAATGGTTTGTGTGTGTGTGTGTGTTTGTTTGTGTCAGGATCAAAAGAACATCCGGATCAAAAAAACACCTGCTTGTGCATAAAACTTGACCGAAGGGTAATCGAGGGTGGGGAATTCGAATCCGAGGTTAGTTTTAACTAATTATTAACTAACTATCAATTAATTACCAATTAATTATTAACTAACTATCAATTAA